CCCTAAACCCCAAACCACAAACCACACTGGCCAGCATTGCTCTAAACCCTAAACCCTAAACCCTAAACCCTAAACCCTAAACCCTAAACCCTAAACCCTAGATTTCCTAGGTTCGTTGCTTTTACCATAGTTATTATAGTTTTAGGCACCGAACTAGGTTGAGTGCACCGAATTCTAGGCTTTTCGGTTGCCACCGAATCGCCTTCTACCGAATTCGGGAAGGACCCGTTCGGGACGCTTCGCGACCCGCGGAACCTTCTAGTCACACCCGGGTTACTGCCTTTGTGTCGAGCCTATATATAGTCTCGCCTTGTACCCAGGTGAATCATTCAATAGAATCATCTTTCCTGAACCAGATCCTCACACTTGGTAATCAGAGCGGGTTTACACGCGAGGTCTTCAACCGCGTAGTTCCGGCCTTTAAAAACCGCGGGGGCGACGACGAAGGCGCCGATACGGGTATGTAAAAACCAGTTCCGCGCAATTTTTTTAAGTGCCCCTCGATTCGGTTTTCGAACACCCCTCAGATTTACTGGTGGAAAGGTTGGAGTTTCGACCGTTCGATCGAGTTTCATCTCAACGGCCCAGAGAATTTCGCCCCAAAAAGTTGGAATTTGGAGCGTCGGATCGAGTTTCTTCTCAACGGCCGAGATCGAACGCGAATTTCGACTAAGGAAGATTTACGCGACTTACAGAATTTGTGCTCGTCGATTCTACAGTCAACTCGACTCGCAGTAAGTTGACCGGCACCTAAGAATTCGAGTATTTTCGTCGCGCATCTTCCTGTAAATCGCCAAATGGAGGAAAAAAGAGATATTTCAGTACAGATTATCGTGGAGTTACGTGCCGAGCATAAGCAGATACGTGCGGCGCTCCCACGACTCGAGAAACTCCTTGCGAACCAGTCGGCAACCGCCACAGCAGCAGCGAATGCAGCAGCGACAACGACAGCAGCAGCGGCGACACCGACAATTCTACCTGCGACAACGGCAGCAGCTACAGTTAACCTCAAAGCAATGAAGCTGAGGCTACCGGAGACGTTCGATCCTATAGTTAAAGGGAACGACGTTCGTCGATTTGTAGCTGAACTCGAAATTTACTTCGAAGCCGTTGGGTGCACGACCCCGACAGAAGACGCAATGCGCATACGGTTTGCAGCAACACTGTTACAAGACCCAACTCTAGAGTGGATCAACAACAGAATAGTCCAAGGCGAAGGGACGTGGGCGCAGTTTCGGGCAGCACTGATCGAACAGTTCGACACGTTGAACAGTAGCTACTACGGAACACGACGCAACAAGCCAACTAGTGGCATGGGGCGATTGGCACCACCCACGACTGCTGAACCGATGGAGAACGACGAGGGCGATGTGGAGCAGCGGCTAGCAAAAACTGAGACGTACAAATTTTGCGGCGCTACAGGACATCGTATCTTGGCGTGTTGGGAAATGAAGGGAAGGCGTGCGGAGCTGAGATACAAGAACAGTGCGGCACCCCCGAAGCAGAAAACGGACAACGTGGCAACTTCGGAGAGGGCGAAAAAAGGAGAATATGATGGCGCGAGTTTAAAACGTCACGACCAGCCGGCACCAGGGGAAATCGCCGAGACAAATGGAGACTCCGCGAAACAAGACCCTGCACCGACTGGGAAACTCCAGCCGTACACCCCGACAAGTAAGAATATTACTTCTCGTGGGTTTCAAGCCTTTATTAAGGGAGAGTCAGAAATTAAACCGGTACCGGGTAATATGGGGACCCTACTCCGGAGCGCTAACAAGGGTCGAGCGTTCCGAGGAGTTAATATTCTCTCCCAGCAGCTCTGTTTAAAGGCTCCCTGTTCCCCACAGATGAAGCCTACACAGCTGCAAAGGCCTAGGGGAAGGTTCCAGGCTCAAGAGAAGCTATACCAACCTCGGATAAATCCTTCTAACCCTACTCAGGTGATACCTGATATTGAAGCTGCATCTTCGAGCGCAGGACCTAGGGATGACATATTCGACGTACCCTACGATCCTATAAGCGATACCATCTACGGCTACTCGGAGCAGCAACAGCCACTAGTACTCGAGGTGATCTGCAACGGGCGACGCCTCCAGACACTGGTGGACAGTGGTGCGTCCCACTCGGTGTACGACCGCGGGACGTTGGAGAAAATTGAAGAATCCTCAGAAGAGACCCAGTTTACAGCAACGATGGTGGACGGTACGAAGCTTCCCATCCACGGCGAGTCAACACTGCAGCTGCAGATAGGAGCGTTAAGGTGGAAGCCGACGTTGCCGATCACGAACATCAAGGGATTAGATTTCATCTTGGGGCGTGATTTTTTGAAGCGGTTCAACCCCGAGATCGACTGGGTCAACCGGAAGGCGTGTACCTACAACAACGGGATGAACCCTCTGCTCAAGGGTCTATTCCAGCATGGATACTTCGTGGACGCAGAAATCACTACAGTAGAGAAACAGAAGCTGTTACAGTGGGAGAAGGACCTAGCTGTAAGAAAGGGATCAGGAAAGATTTGGGTACCGAACTATGCCCCGCTCCGACAGATCTTACTGGAGGAATTTCACGATGTGGCATACGCGGGACATTTCGGGAGCAACAAGACGTTAGCGGGAATAGCAAAGTATTATTACTGGCCCCGGATGGCAACAGACGTGCAGCAGTTCGTCACTTCATGCGACACGTGCCAGCGGATGAAGAATAGCAAGCAGAAAAAAGTAGGGTTACTTCAGCCTTTACCCGTACCGGAGCAGCCATGGCAAGTTGTCAGCCTCGCCTTCATTACTGGGCTTTCTTCGACCTCACGAGGGCATGACGCTATACTCGTGGTGATCGATAAGTTCTCTAAAATGGGACACTTCATCCCGACCAACGCCACGGCTACTGCTGAAGCAACTGCTCGCCTCTTCTTCGACCGCATCATCACCATCCACGGCATCCCTGCTACACTTATCTCGGACAGAGACCCTAAGTTCACTAGTAAGTTCTGGAGGGAACTCATGGGATTGTTGGGGACAAAGCTTGCGATGTCTTCAGCGTACCACCCCCAGACTGACAGACAGACAGAGCGACTCAATCAGGTGGTTGAACAGTTACTGCACACAGCTTGCAAAGACGACGTCAGCCACTGGGATTCACAGTTACCGACACTTGAGTTCGCTTACACTAACGAGTCGCATCAGGTGGTGGGAGCATCCGCTGTCGAGCAGCACCGCCATCGGGTTGGCTTGCACAGCTGCCGCCACCGCTTGGAAGTCCTCGCCAGTCTCCGGCGCTAGCGACAGTGTCGGCTCCACCACGCCCACCATCAAGCACGACGCCTCCACGTCGCCTCGGCCCTTGCGACTGGAGTTGTCGACGTCCTTCGTCGACGACGTCTTCTTCGACGTCTGCTTCTCCTTGCGCAGCTTTGCATCTCGACGGGGGCGACGACTGGCCGATCGACCGCGGCCTCCCTTATTGTCGTCCTCGTCGTTGTCGTCGCGTTCGGGACATTCGTAGGAGAGATGGTCGGAGTCGTGGCAGATCCAGCACTCCCGCCGTCGACCACCACCTCCACGGCCCTTGTCACGTGTCGACCGCTTCTCGTCGACGTCCTTCGTCGACCGCCCACCTCCGCTACCACCTCCGCCCAGCTTCCTGCGCTGCTCCTGGTGACGAGTCTGCTTCATCGGTGCAGCATAGCTTGCCTGCGGAAGGAGCTCCGTGGGCTGTTTTGCCTCCTGCATCGCCGCATCTTTGAGGATGTAGCTGGTGATGGAGTCCTCGTCGAGGGACTCACGTGTGCCGGGCACCATCATCATCCTCTTCATGAGGTTGTAGCTGCGCGGCAGGCCCTTGACGACGTGGGTGATTGTGAGAGTACGACGGCTTATGCCAGCTATGCATGCCTGCCTTTACTTTATTATGCTACTTCTAGCTTAGGTTTATTTTATGCATGCATGAATTGCTTGATTTCCTAGGCTAGGTGCTTTCCTATATTTTATTATAGTTATAGCACCGAGCTAGGTTGCGTACACCGAATTCTGGGCTATTCGGTTGCCACCGAATTGCCTTCTACCGAATTCAGGAAGGGTCTGTTCGGGACGCTTCGCGACCCCCAGAACCTTCGCGTAACACCTGGTTACTGCCCCTTGTGTCGAGCCTATATATAGCCTCGTGTTGTACCCAGGTGATCATTCAATTCAATTCAAACCCTCTTTCCTGAGCTCGATCCTAGATCCTCACAGTGATGTAGGACGCCGTAGAGTATTCGGCGCCCGCCATCCGCATCTCAGCCGGAATCTGTCGAGCACGGTTGCAGTAGTCCGTCGCCGACTCCTGCTCACCCATCCGAATGTGTGTCATCTTCTCCTCCAGCTGTCCAATGTACAGGTCGTCCTTCACCTGGTACGTCGACAGGATGAAGTGCCATGCTTGGTGACCAGCATCCAGCCGCTCTCGACAGGACCTAAGCGCCAGCTGCACCACCGGCGAGCAGCACCTCGAGATGACCATGAAGGTGAGCAAGTGAGCAGCACGAAACTCCCCGCGCAGCTCGACATCGTCCACGGGCGGAATTGGCACAGTGCCATCGGCGAAGCCCTTCAGCCCGGCGACCTCCAGCTGAGGTTCTATCGACTCCCTCCAGGTGATAAGGTCACATCGAACTTGCAGCGGTGCGACGGTGATTGGGTCCGATGAGAACTTGAAGTAGCCATACGCCGGTGCAATCCCGCCCGCCGTCACGTGCGTCGTCGCCGAGAGCCCTCCACCGCTTCGTAGAGGAAGTCGACGTTGACCATCGACTTCGACCCGTGAGCTGTCGTCGACCGTTGCACTTGCGCCTGACTCGCGTAATTACCCCTCTTTTTCGTGCCATTGCTGCTGCTGACTCGTGCACTGCCGACGACCTCATTGTCGACGCCAACTTCGTTTCGTACCAGTCGAGGAGAAGCAGGATGGGAAGGGTGATCCGTTGCTCACTCCGCCCGGATGCCCAACTCGACGATCGTCAAGGGGATCGTCCCGTACTCGCCATCTACGTGGCGTCTCCTTGCATCAGCCAATCGTGCCTCCGAAGTGTCCGCTACGCCCGCATCAACTACGGGGTCGACCATGGCGTCTAGATCGGCTGCCGGCCTACGAACGACTTAGTAGGTGCAAAATTCGGCTCCTATCTGAAGGTAATATGCGTGTTCGTTCCACGCTCACCGCACCATGCGGAGAGTCACTCTACAAGGTAGTGAGCTAGACTACGGGGGGTTGGCACGAACTACTAGGAGTGATCGTAGCTTTGCTTAGTTCCTTAGTGCTTGCACATTCACGGGAGAAATCGGCAAGAGTTTCCACTAGCAAAGTTGGAATTACAGAATGATTGAACAAGCAATGACAGAATGACTACATCAGGCACCTAGCAACTCTGCAGCTAGCTTGGTCGACCGCCAGCACTGCATGGTCGACCGCCTGCCAGCGTTGCGTAGAGGAGCCGCGCCAGCACTGCAGAAAGGCGACCTGCCAACACAGCAGGTCGACGGCGTGCCAACGCTGCAGCAGTGCGGCTGTCCAGCGTTGCACCCGTAGATGGCAGCAGTGCGCACGCTCGCAGGTGCGTGCAGACGATTGGCCCGACTTGCACCGTTGTGCATCCGTCGGCTGTTGTCTGCGCCTGACAAGCCACATCGACTTCGGGATACCAGCCCAAAGGCGCCTTCGTCACTGCGACCTCGACGACGTTCGCATGCCTCTGCAGAACTCGCCGAGCAGGTTAGCTGGTGCTTGGAGGACGGGGTTCAGTTGTCCTCACTGGACACTCAGACACCTCTTGGGTTGACGACCCTACTACGTAGCGGTCGTCACAGGGTTACACCTTCAGCCTTGGTTCCGGCTCTGTCTCTTGGCGGTCTACCCGCTCTTCCTCTGTTCTCAGCTCCAGTTGTGAGGCTGAGGTCTACGCCACAGCCATGGCTACACAGGAGTTACGCTGGCTCACCTACCTGCTGACTAACTTGGGAGAGCGGCCTCGTTCTCCTCGAGTTCTGTACAGCGACATTAGGGCAGCCCTCGCCTTGTGTCAGGAGCACAGACTGGAGCACAGAACGAAGCATATCGCTCTGCGTTACTTCTTTGCTCGAGAGCTGCAGCAGCGTGGCCAGCTTCGTCTTGCTTACGTGGACACGCGGGCCAACACAACTGATATATTCACCAAGGCACTTTCGCCTAGTGATCATTAGCGTCAATGCACTGCTTTAGGCCTCGTGCCTACGTTCTCTTACTTGCTCACTGCTTGACTTTGCCTGTACTGTGATCTATATATATTCCTGCATGCTTACACTTGCTAGGTAGTGATCACTCTACTGTTTGCTCTCTCTTATATGACTATGCGTCAGAACTAGCCATGTGGCCTTTGTGCTTGTGCTCGGAATGTGTGGTGACGTCGTGATCCACCCTGAGCTTGCTTTGTTTTTCTTGACTGGTCTTGTGACCACTTGTTCTCCCCCACTTTGCCTATGGGGGTGTGTCAAACGATTATGCTTGTTGTTGGTTGTAGGCTGTAGTGGGGTAGCTTACATGGGGTACAACTCATTCTAGGGTTTGTATTTGTATCCCAACTCTGACTAGTTAATTCATTCTTGGCTAGTATTCTGACATGCGGTATTTGTGCAGTTGCGCTGCTTTGTTATATAATGGCGCGCTAGGGAAAAACTTTCTGGAATGTTATAATAACCATTTGGTTATTCCAACAAATTTCTGCAACATCCGGAACTTTCAAGGTAAAGTTATAACATCATCTTGAAATCAGGGTAATAAGGGCACCCTAATATCGAGGGCCCTGGTCCTTTCCTTTCAGCAGTGAAGCCACGTAAGGAAAATGCAGATTGTTATTCACGATGGTCGCGCGTAACCAGGTCTGCGACTTCGGCGAATGTTGGTTCTGTCGAAAACTTCGCGCCCTAGACACAAGCCGTGAAACGGCTTCGCGGCCTGGTAACCGTTCGTATCAGACTGTAGTAGCAGGTTTGTGACCTCGTAACTAACGGCCCATAAAGCATAGTGCGCAACCATGTGATTACCACCGGTACATTCAGCGAAAATTATGTCTGTAAAACTTTGTTGAACTAGTAGTATGCCTTATCTGTCAAACTATATGCATGCTATATTTGTGTAGGCTGTAGTGGGATAGCCAATATGGGGTATAACCCCTTTAGGGTTTGATGCTAGTACCCAACTCTCATTCAATGCATTCATTCATTCCTGCCTGTAGTTTCTAACATGGTATCAGAGAAGTAAGTTCGTAGGACCGTTTTTTGTTCCGGGCCCACCTACCGTTGTGGTTACTGAGTTGCCCCACGTGTTGCCTGCGCCGCGCTGTACGCGCGCGCCTTGCCTTGCCTGCGCTGCGCTGCTTGCGCGCGCCTTGCCTTGCCTTGCCTGCGCTGCACGCGCGCGCAAACCCTAATTCTGCGCGCAGCCCGCTGCTGCCCCGCGCGTCGCGTCCGCCGCCTGCGCAGCCCGCTGCTGCCCCGCGCGCCGCGTCAGCAGCTCGCGCAGCCCGCAGCAACCCCGCGCGCCGCTGCTGCCGCCTTCGCGCAGCCCGCGACTGCCTCGCGCGCCGCGTCCGCCGCTCGCGCAGCCCGCGGCTGCCCCGCGCGCCGCGTCAGCAGCTCGCGCAGCCTGTAGCAGCCCCGTGCACCGCGGCTGCCGCCCTCGCGCAGCCCGCGGCTGCCTCGCGGCCCCGCCCTACCGCTGACGCGGCCCCGACCTGCCGCTGATGCGGCCCCGCTCTGCCGCTGTCGCGGCCCCGCCTGGCCCCGCCCTGCCGCCGACGCGGCCCCGCCTTGCAGCAGCTGTCACGGCCCCGCCCTGCAGCAGGCGACGCGGCCCCGCCCTTCCGCTTTCGTGGCCCCGCCCTGCCATTGTCGCAGCCCCGCCTACCCTGCCGCCGCCTGCCGAGCGCCAGCCCTGCTCGCCCGGCGCGCGCCTGCCCTTCCCGCCTCTGGTGAGCACCTGCCCTACCCGCGCTTCCCGCGCGCCTGCCTTGTTAGTGCGCTACCGCGCCATCTGCCTGCCTGCCTGCCTGCCTGCCTGCGTGCGTGCCTGCGTGCGTGCCTGCGTGCCTGCCTGCCTGCCTGCCTGCCGCGCCTGCCCTGCCCGCGCTGCTGCTGCTGCTACTACTGCTACTGCTGCTACTGGCGGTGGCCAGATGCAGCTCCAGCGACGTCCGCGCGAGTCTCTCACGCCTCAGCAGCTTCGTGAGTGGTACGCTAGTTGGGGTTGTGGCGGTAGCCGTCGTAGCTATCGCCCTGGAGCTGGTCAGTCAAGAGCGTCTGGCAGTGGCCAGCTGCAGCTGCAGCGGCGTCCGCGCGAGACACTTACGCCCCAGCAGCTTCGTGAGTGGTACGCTCAGAGTAGAGGGTCTCGGAGTACCGTTTGCTGCCTGTGAGAGTACGACGTCATTGCTACGCTTTAGTAGCTTGATTCTGCTTTACTATGCATTATCTAGCTTAGCTTTGCTTTATTTTGCTTGCTTTTGCTAGATTTCCTAGGTTCGTTGCTTTTACCATAGTTATTATAGTTTTAGGCACCGAACTAGGTTGAGTGCACCGAATTCTAGGCTTTTCGGTTGCCACCGAATCGCCTTCTACCGAATTCGGGAAGGACCCGTTCGGGACGCTTCGCGACCCGCGGAACCTTCTAGTCACACCCGGGTTACTGCCTTTGTGTCGAGCCTATATATAGTCTCGCCTTGTACCCAGGTGAATCATTCAATAGAATCATCTTTCCTGAACCAGATCCTCACACTTGGTAATCAGAGCGGGTTTTGTCAAACATTATATATGTTGGGTTTGTTAGGCTACAGTGGGTTAGCCTGTATGGGGTACACAATTCTAGGGTTTGCTATTTGTACTGATTTCTCTGTTAGTTCAATCATTCCAGTCTCTTCTTTCTGACATGGTTTCAGAGCAGGTCCTTCACTAGGACCGTTCTTAGGGCCCACCACTGACTACCTACCTACCTATCTACTGTCGGAGCGTCGCGTTAGCGCCTCCCCCTCAGCGCCCTCGTGCGCCCTCGTGTACGGCCCCTTAAGGCCCCGTCGACCCCGCGCGCCGCCCCTTAGTGACTCGCGCGTCGCGCCTTAGAGGCCCCGTCGACCCGTGCGCGCCCCGCTTAAGGCCCCGTTTGGCCCCGTCGACCCGCCCGCGGCCCGCTTAGTGGCCCCGCTTAGCCCCGTCGACCCGCGCGCGCCCCGCTTACGGCCCCGTTTGGCCCCGTCGACCCGCCCGCACCCCGCTTAGATGCCCCGTTTGGCCCCGTCGACCTACGCGCGCCCCGCTTACGGCCCCGTTTGGCCCCGTCGACCCACGCGCGCCCCGGTCACGGCCCCGTTTGGCCCCGTCGACCCCTTCGCGCCCCGCTTAGTGGCCCCGTTTGGCCCCGTCGACCCGCGCGCGCCCCGCTTACGGCCCCGTTTGGCCCCGTCGACCCCACGCGTGCCCCGCTTAGAGGCCCCCCTGGCCCCGTCGACCCCGTGCGCGCCCCGCTTAGAGGTCCCGCGGCCCCGTCGTCCGCCACCACACGGTCCCTCGACCCCGCGCGCGCCCCGCTTAGCGGCCCCACGGCCCCGTCGAGCCCCGCTTAGAGGCCCCCGCGACCCAGTCCCGCCCCTCTTAGCGGCTTCGCGCAGCCGCGCAGCCCGAACCGAGCCGCGCCGCCCTACCTGAACTGAGCCGCGCCGCCCTACCGAGCCGCGTCGACCGTTCTAGCAGCCCTGTTGATCCTACTGCTACTGCTACTGCTACTACTGCTACTACGGCTACCACTATGGCCAGTCCTCCCGTACTTGCTTTCGATGCTGAGGGCCGCCCAGTGAAGTTTGACACCTGGCTCGATGACCTGCACCTTTTCCTACAGCTCACTGCCAAGGAGGACATCTCACTGTATGACCACGCCCTCGGCCATGCTCCTGCCCCTGCTACTGATGCTGACAGCACTACCCGCTCCCAGTGGCAGACTCGTGACGCCCACGCTCGCTTTGCCATCCGCAACTCCCTGCCGTTAGATGAGCGCGAGCACTTTGGCCAGTGCAAGACTGCTAGGGACCTCTACACCGCTGTAGTTGCCCGTTACTCCTCACCCGCTTCTGCTACGCTAGGCCGCCTCACTCTTCCCTACCTGTTCCCCGACCTAGCCTCCTTTCACACTGTCGCAGACCTCATCACCCACCTTAAGACTAGTGAGGCCCGCTTTCGCGCTGCTATGCCTGCCGAGTTTCTCACTAGCAACCCCCCCCCGCTCTGGATCACTCTCTACCACATCGTCACCCGCCTCCCTGACTCTCTGCGCGCAGTCAGGGACCACTTCCTCTCTCGCTCCCCCACTGAGCTCACTGTTGCCCTCCTCGAGAAGGAACTGCTTGCAGCTGAGGCGAGCATCGTCGCTGTAGGCACCTCTCGTGGCGACCCCCGCACCCCGTTCTTCGAGGGGTGTTCCCCTTCCCCCCTCCTCCCCTCTGTCGCCTCTGCTGCTGCTGTCGACCTCCTTGGTGCTGAGAAGGTCGGGACCGCGTCTGCTTCGAGCGGGCGCCGCAGGGGCAAAGGGAACAGGGGCGGGGGTGGCGGCGGAGGAGGTGGGGGTGGAGGCGGTGGGAGTGGAGGCGCGGCTGAGGAGGCTAGTGGCGGTAGTGGGGGAGGCGACAGCAGCGGCGGGAGTGGTGGCAGGGGCGGAGGCGGCAGCGGAGGCGGAGGTGGTCGTGGTGGCGGCAGGGGTGGAGGTGGCCGGGGCGGAGGCGGAGGGGGTGGTGGTCGTGGGGGCACTGGCGGAGGGCAGAGTCAGCAGCCCGCCCCGACGCTTCAGGCCGCCCGTGAGTGGTATGCGCAGCGTGGCTTTACCTGCACGTACGTCATTCGCACAGGTGACCGCACCGGCCAGCAGTGTGGGAGGCTGCACCCCACGCAGCGCTGCTTCGCCCGCCTTACCGACGCGTGGCGCACCCAGTTTCCTACTGCCACTGAGCTGCCGCGCTGGGCTGAGCTGGAAAAGAGGGGTGTTGATATTTGGGCTTTAGACTTTGATGCTATTCTCACTGCCATGTATGCGATGTCTATTAGTGGAGAGGGTGCTCAGTACTTGCGTGTTCCGCCCGACCCGGGCATTCAGGCCAGTCCGGCTGCCGCCCTAGGTGCTAGTGCGTCCGCTCCCGCAGGTCCTGGTGAGGCTGCTGCCCTAGGTGCTAGTGCGTCTGTGCCCCCTGGTACTGAGTCGACTGCAGCACTGCACACCTTCACACTGGACTCAGGTGCTTCTCGCTCTTTCTTTCGTGACCGCACTGTCCTTGAGCCCCTCGCTCGGCCAGTTGCTGTCTCCCTTGCTGACCCCTCTGGGGGTCCGGTCATTGCGACCTCCTCCACTGTCCTTCCTTGTCCGGCGGTCCCGTCCGGCACGCTGTCCGGTCTCTACCTCCCCTCGTTCTCGACGAACTTGGTGGCAGGTAGTGCGCTCCAGGACGGGGGTGTTCACCAGTTCACCCCTGCCTACGAGCGCGTGACACACTGCACGTGTGCTCGGACGGGTCGCCACCTGGCTACCTTTTATCGGGAGTCGGGATCGGACCTTTACACACTGACCACTGTGTCCCCTCAGGTAGCTGCGTCTGCGTCTGCGTCTGCGTCAGGTCAGCTGTCCGCCCCCTGCTCGTGTCGCTCTCTGGCACATGAGACTGTCCTTTGGCACCACCGCCTTGGTCACCCGTCTGTGCAGCGCCTTCGGGCCATGCACCAGCGGGACCTTGTTGCTGGTCTTCCCAGGGTGCTCCCTCCCCTTCCCGACTCGCCTGCTCCTCCCTGTATTCCCTGTGTCGAGGGACGGCAGCGCGCCGCTCCTCACTCCTCCTCCTTTCCCCCGACGACTGCCCCCTTGCAGACGCTCCACATGGACGTGTGGGGCCCAGCCCGCGTCCGTGGTCAGGGTCAGGAGAGGTACTTCCTGATTGTTGTTGACGACTTCTCGCGCTACACCACGGTCTTCCCCTTGCGCGCCAAGGGTGACGTCCCTGATGTCTTGATCCCTTGGATCCGCAGATCTCGTCTCCAACTCAGTGAGCGTTTCCACTCCGACTTCCCTGTCCTGCGTCTGCACTCTGACAGAGGTGGGGAGTTCTCCTCTGGCCTATTGGAGGCCTTCTGTCAGCAGGAGGGCATTGAGCAGTCGTACACGCTTCCGGACTCTCCACAGCAGAATAGGGTTGCTGAGCGCCGCATTGGTCTGGTCATGGAGGTCGCTCGTACCTCCTTGAGCCATGCGGCTGCCCCCCATTTTCTGTGGCCATTTGCAGTCCGATACGCTGCGCATCAGCTCAACCTCTGGCCCCGTGTCTCCTTGCCCGAGACTTCTCCGACACTGCGTTGGACGGGAGAGGCTGGCGATGCGTCGCGTTTTCGGGTCTGGGGATCCCGAGCTTTTGTCCGCGACACGTCCGCGGACAAGCTCTCCCGTCGCGCTGTCCCCTGCGTCTTCCTTGGCTTTGTCCCGGACGCCCCTGGTTGGCAGTTCTACCACCCCACCTCGCGGCGTGTCCTGGCCTCTCAGGACGTCACTTTTGACGAGTCCGTCCCCTACTACCGCCTCTTCCCCTACCGCACTGCCCCGCTCCCCCCCCCGCCTCTCTTCCTCGCTCCAGGTGCTGAGGTACCAGACCCCCTCCCCCCTCAGGGTGCCGCTCCTTCAGGTGTGTCCCAGGTAGACCCGGGTGAGCCTGTCGAGGTAGCTGTTGACTCTCGTCCTGCTCCTGGAGGTGCTGAGCCTGGGGGTGCTGCGTCTGGGGGTGCTGAGCCTGGGGGTGCTGAGTCTGGGGGTGCTGAGCCTGGAGGTGCTGCGCCTGGGGGTGCTGGGTCTGGGGGTGCTGCGTCTGGGGGTGCTGAGCCTGAGCGTGCTACACCTGGAGGAGCCCTCTCCTCCCAGCAGCTGCAGGAGAGGTACCTCGAGTACTGCCGCCTCCGGAGAGGTGCTGCTGGAGCTCGTCCCGGTACTTCCCCTCCTCCCCAGGAGCTCCCCCCCATTCAGCAGATCCGCGAGTGGTACACACGGCGCTGCAGTCTTCGGAGTGGTGCTCCTGGTGCTGCGGACCCTGGGGGTGGCGCTGCTGCTGGTGCTGAGGACCCGGACGTTGGAGCTGCTGCTGGTGCTGCGGACCCGCCTGGTGGAGCTGCTGCTGGTGCTGAGGACTCGGACGTTGGAGCTGCTGCTGGAGCTGAGGACCCGGGCGGTGGCGCTGCTGCTGGTACTGAGGACTCGGACGGTGGAGCTGCTGCTGGACCTGAGGACCCGAGCGGTGGCGCTGCTGCTGCTGCTGCTGAGGACCCGGGCGTTGGAGCTACTACTGGTGCTGAGGACCCGGCCGGTGGAGCTGCTGCTGGTGCTGTGGACCCGGCCGCTGGAGTCTCCTCTGCTTCTGGAGACGCTGCGCGGCCGCGACCGTACTTCGTACCGCTCCTTCAGCAGGTTCTTGGGCAGGCTCCTCCTCCTTGTCCTCCTCCCTCCGTAGAGTGTCCTCTGCCTGTCCAGTCGCAGTCACAGTTACCGCCTACCTCGCCTCTCCCTGCTCCCTCTCCTTACACTGGTCCCACAGGAGGTCTTACAGAGCGTCGTGAGCCTGAGTCTCGTCCTGCGTCGCCTGTTCGTCCTGCTCGCACTGGTAGTCGTGTCCGTCGTGAGCGTCCTCCTCCTGTCCCAGGCACTCACTACATGACTCTGCGTCCCTCTACTGCTCCTCAGCGTGTCCCTCTACCGTCTCCTCCCGCGTCTTCTTTGCCTCACGTTCCGGACCCTGAGTCTGACCGGTACCGTGCTGAGCACCCTACTGTCACGCGTCTCCTCGCTACTGTTGTCACTGACCCTACCTTTGAGTCCTCGACTGCGTCTGCTCTGGTCGCTGAGTTGGTTGACTTTGCTGCTGCCTGTCGTCTAGACTACGCTGCTCGCCTTGTTGCTGAGTCTGAGTCTGTCTGTCCTCCGTCCGTCGGGGGTGAGTGTGCTCTTGGCACGGACGTCCTTGAGGACAGACAGGAGGAGTTCCAGTGTCTTGCTGCTGCTTTGCCCCGTCTCGTGTCCTTGCTAGTTGCCCCTGAGGGAGACCCGGATGCACCAGACATCCCGACCCCACGCACTTACGCTGAGGCGATGGCGGGTCCCTACTCCTCTCAGTGGCAGACGGCCATGGACGCCGAGATGGCTTCCTGGAAGTCCACACGCACCTACGTCGACGAGGTTCCCCCTCCTGGGGCGAACATCGTCAGTGGCATGTGGATTTTCAGGGTGAAGCGGCCGCCGGGTTCTCCGCCTGTCTTCAAGGCGCGTTACGTGGCTCGAGGCTTCAGTCAGCGAGAGGGAGTCAACTTCTTCCAGACCTTCTCCCCCACCCCGAAGATGACCACTCTTCGGGTGCTGCTGCACATAGCCGCTCACCGCGACTACGAGCTTCACTCACTTGACTTCAGCACTGCTTTCTTGCAGGGCAGCCTGCACGAGGAGATCTGGCTGCGCCGCCCACCTGGCTTCACTGGGTCGTTTCCTCCTGGTACCCAGTGGAGGCTTCAGCGGCCGGTCTACGGTCTCCGCCAGGCTCCGCGTGAGTGGCACGACACACTGAGGACTACACTTGCGGCTCTTGGGTTCGCGCCTTCTACAGCTGACCCGTCGCTGTTCCTGCGCACCGACACTTCGCTGCCGCCGTTCTACATCCTTGTGTACGTCGACGACTTGGTCTTTGCCACTGCTGACACTGCAGGACTCGCCTACGTGAAGTCGGAGCTGCAGAGGAGACACACGTGCACAGACCTGGGTGAGCTGACAAGCTATCTTGGCTTGCGGATCACCCGGGACAGAGCACGGCGCACCATCACCTTGACTCAGTCACACATGGTGCAGCAGGTTCTCCAGCGCTTTGGCTTCACGTACTCCTCGCCTCAGTCCACTCCTCTGCCTACCGGTCACTCGCTCTCAGCTCTGCCTTCGGATGAGTCCGTAGAGCCGAGTGGCCCGTATCCAGAGCTTGTGGGCTGCCTCATGTACCTGATGACCTGCACTCGACCTGACCTTGCATACCCTCTTAGCATCCTTGCACGCTATGTCGCTCCTGGCCGTCACAGGAAGGAGCACATGGATGCCGCTAAGAGGGTGTTGCGCTACTTGTGCAGTACGTCGGGCATGGGGCTTGTGCTTGGAGGGCGAGACCGAGTTGTGCTCACAGGGCACTCAGACGCTTCTTGGGCAGACGACCAGGCCACTCAGCGGTCGTCTCAGGGTTACACCTTCAGCCTTGGCTCTGGCTCAGTTTCTTGGCGCTCTACACGCTCTTCTTCTGTTCTCGGCTCCAGTTGCGAGGCTGAGATCTACGCTACAGCCATGGCTGCCTAGGAGCTACGCTGGCTGACCTACCTGCTGACTGACCTCGGAGAGCCGCCTCGTTCTCCTCCAGTACTGTACGTCGACAACAAGGCTGCCATTGCCTTGTGTGAGGAGCACAGACTGGAGCACAGAACGAAGCACATTGCTCTGCGGTACTTCCTTGCTCGAGAGCTGCAGCAGCGCGGTCAGCTTTGTATTCGCTACGTGGCCACTGAGGCCAACACTGCTGATGTGTTCACCAAGGCGCTTCAGCCTCGTGACCATCAGCGCTTCTGCACTCTACTAGGCCTTGTGCCTACTGGACCTCACTTGCTTACCTCTTGACTTTGCTTGTACTGTGATCACTATATATATCTATACCTGCATGTTTACTCTTGCTAGGTTGTGATCACTGTATCTCTGGCTCTGTTATAAACCTGCATGTGAACTGGTCTTGTGACCACTAGCTTGTGCTCGGAATTTGTGTGGAATCCTCGAGATCCACCCTGAGCTTGTTGTTGCCTTGCTTTGCCTTGACTGGTCTTGTGACCCCTAGGTCTCCCCCACTTTGCCTATGGGGGTGTGTCAAACATTATATATGTTGGGTTTGTTAGGCTACAGTGGGTTAGCCTATATGGGGTACACAATTCTAGGGTTTGCTATTTGTACTGATTTCTCTGTTAGTTCAATCATTCCAGTCTCTTCTTTCTGACAGGTTTACACGCGAGGTCTTCAACCGCGTAGTTCCGGCCTTTAAAAACCGCGGGGGCGACGACGAAGGCGCCGATACGGGTATGTAAAAACCAGTTCCGCGCAATTTTTTTAAGTGCCCCTCGATTCGGTTTTCGAACACCCCTCAGATTTACTGGTGGAAAGGTTGGAGTTTCGACCGTTCGATCGAGTTTCATCTCAACGGCCCAGAGAATTTCGCCCCAAAAAGTTGGAATTTGGAGCGTCGGATCGAGTTTCTTCTCAACGGCCGAGATCGAACGCGAATTTCGACTAAGGAAGATTTACGCGACTTACAGAATTTGTGCTCGTCGATTCTACAGTCAACTCGACTCGCAGTAAGTTGACCGGCACCTAAGAATTCGAGTATTTTCGTCGCGCATCTTCCTGTAAATCGCCAAATGGAGGAAAAAAGAGATATTTCAGTACAGATTATCGTGGAGTTACGTGCCGAGCATAAGCAGATACGTGCGGCGCTCCCACGACTCGAGAAACTCCTTGCGAACCAGTCGGCAACCGCCACAGCAGCAGCGAATGCAGCAGCGACAACGACAGCAGCAGCGGCGACACCGACAATTCTACCTGCGACAACGGCAGCAGCTACAGTTAACCTCGAAGCAATGAAGCTGAGGCTACCGGAGACGTTCGATCCTATAGTTAAAGGGAACGACGTTCGTCGATTTGTAGCTGAACTCGAAATTTACTTCGAAGCCGTTGGGTGCACGACCCCGACAGAAGACGCAATGCGCATACGGTTCGCAGCAACACTGTTACAAGACCCAACTCTAGAGTGGATCAACAACAGAATAGTCCAAGGCGAAGGGACGTGGGCGCAGTTTCGGGCAGCACTGATCGAACAGTTCGACACGTTGAACAGTAGCTACTACGGAACACGACGCAACAAGCCAACTAGTGGCATGGGGCGATTGGCACCACCCACGACTGCTGAACCGATGGAGAACGACGAGGGCGATGTGGAGCAGCGGCTAGCAAAAACTGAGACGTACAAATTTTGCGGCGCTACAGGACATCGTATCTTGGCGTGTTGGGAAATGAAGGGAAGGCGTGCGGAGCTGAGATACAAGAACAGTGCGGCACCCCCGAAGCAGAAAACGGACAACGTGGCAACTTCGGAGAGAGCGAAAAAAAGGAGAATATGATGGCGCGAGTTTAAAACGTCACGACCAGCCGGCACCAGGGGAAATCGCCGAGACAAATGGAGACTCCGCGAAACAAGACCCTGCACCGACTGGGAAACTCCAGCCATACACTCCGACAAGTAAGAATATTACTTCTCGTGGGTTTCAAGCCTTTATTAAGGGAGAGTCAGAAACACAGATGAAGCCTACACAGCTGCAAAGGCCTAGGGGAAGGTTCCAGGCTCAAGAGAAGCTGTACCAGCCTCGGATAAATCCTTCTAACCCTACTCAGGTGATACCTGATATTGAAGCTGCATCTTCGAGCGCAGGACCTAGGGATGACATATTCGACGTACCCTACGATCCTATAAGCGATACCATCTACGGCTACTCGGAGCAGCAACAGCCACTAGTACTCGAGGTGATCTGCAACGGGCGACGCCTCCAGACACTGGTGGACAGTGGTGCGTCCCACTCGGTGTACGACCGCGGGACGTTGGAGAAAATTGAAGAATCCTCAGAAGAGACCCAGTTTACAGCAACGATGGTGGACGGTACGAAGCTTCCCATCCACGGCGAGTCAACACTGCAGCTGCAGATAGGAGCGTTAAGGTGGAAGCCGACGTTGCCGATCACGAACATCAAGGGATTAGATTTCATCTTGGGGCGTGATTTTTTGAAGCGGTTCAACCCCGAGATCGACTGGGTCAACCGGAAGGCGTGTACCTACAACAACGGGATGAACCCTCTGCTCAAGGGTCTATTCCAGCATGGATACTTCGTGGACGCAGAAATCACTACAGTAGAGAAACAGAAGCTGTTACAGTGGGAGAAGGACCTAGCTGTAAGAAAGGGATCAGGAAAGATTTGGGTACCGAACTATGCCCCGCTCCGACAGATCTTACTGGAGGAATTTCACGATGTGGCATACGCGGGACATTTCGGGAGCAACAAGACGTTAGCGGGAATAGCAAAGTATTATTACTGGCCCCGGATGGCAACAGACGTGCAGCAGTTCGTCACTTCATGCGACACGTGCCAGCGGATGAAGAATAGCAAGCAGAAAAAAGTAGGGTTACTTCAGCCTTTACCCGTACCGGAGCAGCCATGGCGAGTTGTCAGCCTCGCCTTCATTACTGGGCTTTCTTCGACCTCACGAGGGCATGACGCTATACTCGTGGTGATCGATAAGTTCTCTAAAATGGGACACTTCATCCCGACCAACGCCACGGCTACTGCTGAAGCAACTGCTCGCCTCTTCTTCGACCGCATCATCACCATCCACGGCATCCCTGCTACACTTATCTCGGACAGAGACCCTAAGTTCACTAGTAAGTTCTGGAGGGAACTCATGGGATTGTTGGGGACAAAGCTTGCGATGTCTTCAGCGTACCACCCCCAGACTGACAGACAGACAGAGCGACTCAATCAGGTGGTTGAACAGTTACTGCACACAGCTTGCAAAGACGACGTCAGCCACTGGGATTCACAGTTACCGACACTTGAGTTCGCTTACAATAACGCGTCGCATGCGGCCACAGGGAAATCTCCATTCTTCCTGTGCTACGGACGGGAACCACTTACACCACAGCAGCCAACCACACCGGCACACGTCCAAGCCGCACACGACTTCGTCACCACCATGCAGCAGCTATGGGAGAAGACTCAGCGACGTCTCACCACGATGCAGAACTCCCATAAGCAGTATGCCGATCGCCAGCGACGTGATCACTCAGTAGCAGTCGGAGATCAGGTGCTTCTTGACACGCACAACTTGAACCTGTCTCACCTACCGTCCAAGCTCCGGCCTCGCTTCTGTGGTCCCTTTCGCGTTGAGGCGATCATGACACCAGTTACATTCCGCTTGCGCTTACCTACTACGTGGAAGCTTCACAATGCTTTCCATGTTCAGCTACAAAAGCCCTACAAGGACCCCACCCAACAATTCCAGGGACGCCAGCTACCGCCACCATCACCTGTTCTCATACAGGATGAACCAGAGTACGAGGTGGAAAAAGTTCTCGCTCATCGACGCAGACGCGACAATATGCTCGAGTTCCTGATACGCTGGAAGGGATATGACCCATCGGAGGACAGTTGGGTTGCAGAAGCTGATATGGGCAACGCACGCCGTGCTCTCAAGTACTATCTTGTCAAGCAGGGTGTTTCTCATGCCACCCAGCTTTGAGAGGGGGACGTGTGAGAGAACGACGTCATTGCTATGCTTTAGTAGCTTGATCGTGCTTTACTATGCATTATCTAGCTTAGCTTTGCTTTATTTTGCTTGCTTTTGCTAGATTTCCTAGGTTCGTTGCTTTTACTATAGTTATTATAGTTTTAGGCACCGAACTAGGTTGAGTGCACCGAATTCTAGGCTTTTCGGTTGCCACCGATGGCCTTCTACCGAATTCGGGAAGGACCCGTTCGGGACGCTTCGCGACCCGCGGAACCTTCTAGTCACACCCGGGTTACTGCCTTTGTGTCGAGCCTATATATAGTCTCGCCTTGTACCCAGGTGAATCATTCAATAGAATCATCTTTCCTGAACCAGATCCTCACACTGCCCGTACGTCATTCGCACAGGTGATCGGGACGCCTGGTCACACACAGTCCCGCTGCTTCGCTCGTCTGAGCGACGCCTGGCGTACCGAGTTTGGCGACGAGGCTGAGCTCCCTACCTGGCTGGAGCTGCTTAGGCAGAGGGTAGATATCTTTGCTCTTGACTATGATGCTATTCTCACTGCCATGTATGCGTTGCCTACTAGTGCTGACGGTGCCTGTTACATGTGCATACCGCCTGACCCAGGTATAGAGCCTGCTGCTCTAGGTGCTGGTGAGGCTGCTGCTCTAGGTGCTCGTGCGTCTCCTACTCTAGGTGCTGGTGAGGCTGCTGCTCCAGGTGCTGGTGAGTCTGCTCTCTCTGGTACTGCGCCTGCTGAGGCCTTGTACACCTTCACGCTTGACTCAGGTGCTTCCCGCTCCTTCTTTCGCGACAGCACCACCCTCACGCCGCTCAGTCGGCCGGTTGCAGTCTCCCTGGCGGACCCCTTAGGGGGTCCAGTCCTTGCGCACTCCTCCACGGTCCTGCCGTGTCCGGCGGTCCCGTCTGGCTCCCTGTCAGGTCTTCACCTCCCCTCGTTCTCTACGAACTTGGTGAGTGGTGCTGACCTCCAGGACCAGTGGGTTGACCAGTTCACTCCTGGAGGTCAGCGCGTGACCCACTGTACGTGCTCCCGGACGGGCCGACACCTGGCCACGTTTACCCGTGCGCCTGGCTCGAGTCTGTACACACTGACTACTGTGTCCCCTCAGGTCGCTGCGTCTGCGTCTGCGTCAGGTCAGCTAGCGGCCCCCTGCTCGTGTCGCGCTTTGTCGCACCAGACCCTCCTTTGGCACCACCGTCTTGGTCACCCCTCGGTGCAGCGCTTTTGTAGCATGCACCGCCGGGTCCTTGTCTCTGGTCTTCCCAGGGTTCTCCCTCCCCTCCCACCCTCGCCTGCTCCTCCCTGTCTTCCCTGTGTCGAGGGGCGGCAGCGCGCCACTCCTCACTCCTCCTCGTTTCCCCCGACGACTGCTCCCCTGCAGACCCTGCACATGGACGTGTGGGGCCCAGCCCGCGTCACTGGACAGGGCCGCGAGCGGTACTTTCTGCTGGTTGTCGACGACTACTCGCGTTACACCACGGTCTTTCCCTTGCGCACCAAGGGTGAGGTCCCTGATGTTTTGATCCCTTGGATCCGCGCTGCCCGTCTCCAGCTCCGCGAGCGGTTCGGGACGGAGTTTCCCTCCGACCTGCGTCTGCACTCTGACAGAGGTGGGGAGTTTTCCTCCGACCTTCTGCAGAGCTTTTGTCGTGGGGAGGGCATTCGCCAAACATTCACGCTTCCGGCCTCTCTGCAGCAGAATGGGGTTGCTGAGCGCCGCATTGGCATGGTCATGGACGTCGCTCGTACGTCCATGGTCCATGCGGCTGCCCCCCATTTTCTGTGGCCGTTTGCGGTCCGGTACGCTGCGCATCAGCTCAACCTCTGGCCACGTGTCTCCTTGCCGGAGACCTCGCCCACACTGCTGTGGACGGGGGAGGTTGGCGATGTGTCGCGTTTCCGGGTCTGGGGTGCTCATGCCTTTGTCCGCGATACCACCGCGGACAAGCTCTCCACTCGCACCATTCCCAGTGTCTTCCTTGGCTTTGTCCCTGACGCGCCTAGTTGGCAGTTTTACCACCCCACCTCGCGCCGTGTCTTCCCCTCTCAGGACGTCACGTTCGACGAGTCGGTTCCCTTTTACCGTCTCTTCCCCTACCGCACTGCCCCTCTCCCCCCCCCGCCGCTCTTCCTCGCTCCAGGTGCTCCCCAGGTAGACCCCCTCCCCGCTCCCGGTCCTGCTCCTTCAGGTGTGTCTCAGGTAGACCCTCCTCCCTTGACTGCGCCAGTTGAGGTCACTGGTGACTCAGGTCCTGCTGAGGGTGGTCCTGCTCGGGGTGCTGCTTCTGGGGGTGCTGAGCCTGGGGGTGCGGAGCCTGGGGGTGCTGAGCCTGGGGGTGCGGAGTCTGGGGGTGCTGAGTCTGGGGGTACTGAGTCTGGGGGTGCTGCACCTGGGGGCGCTGAGGCGTCTGGTGAGCAGTCTCCCTGGAGCGGCCGTCTCCGTAGTCGCTCCGCTGGTGCCTCGCCGCTGCACTCTCGTCGTCTCCCTCTCTCCCCACAGCAGCTGCGTGAGTGGTACGTTAGCCGTCAGGGTCGCGCTGCTGGAGCTGGAGGTTCTGGAGCTGCTGCGGGTGCTGGCGCTGGAGGTTCTGGAGCTGTTGGTGGTGCTGGCGCTGGTGGCGCTGGCGCTGGAGGTTCTGGAGCTGCTGCGGGTGCTGGCGCTGGAGGTTCTGGAGCTGTTGGAGGTGCTGGCGCTGTCGAAACTTAGGCATAAGTGAGGGGCTAATCTTAAGTGGGGGCCAAGGCATAGTAGCCTAGGCCCAAGGAGATTGAGCTAGGTTGAGCCGAGGAGGGGGAGTCGAGAGAATTGTGGCAAGAAAACAGGGTTTCACTATAGCAAACAAGGAACATATAGGCAAGAGAACAAGCACAAGAGGTGCACCACCAACAGTTAATAATAACTACACTAAACTACAGCTACAGGCAGTTACATAAATATTTCAACACTCCCCCATAACTGCCTGCAGCAGGAGTTTGTGCAGCAACACCTCCTGGATGGATACACCAAACAGAGAAGCAGCACTACGCAAGAGCAGTGACAAGTTTACAAATAACAGCAAAGAGAGGCAAGAGGCATAACAAGAGAGGTAGTCGGGATGAGGAGAAACTGCTGGCAGGTGAAGCTGCTGGCACCGAGGCGGCTGCTTCCTGGAACCTCCCTCAGTCCTCCAAATCCCCCTTCCACACTCCTCGACAACCCTAGCACCTCTCCCCCAGCTCCCCCACACCCTCACACCCTCCCCCCCAGCGGCAGCTGCAGCAGTGGGAACGAAAGGAGGAGGAGGGGAAGGGGATCAGACACAGGGGCAGCACAGGCACGGGTGAGGCAGAGGCGGCTCAGGGCACCGTCGCGGGCGCCAGGGGCGGGTCCGCGACGGCTCAGGCTACCGTCGCGGGCGCCAGGGGCGGGTCCGCGGCGGCTCAGGCTACCGTCGCGGGCGCCAGGGGCGGGTCCGCGGCGGCTCAGGCAACCGTCGCGGGCGCCAGGGGCGGGTCCGCGGCGGCTCAGGCTACCGTCGCGGGCGCCAGGGGCGGGTCGGCGGCGGCTCAGGCAACCGTCGCGGGCGCCAGGGGCGGGTCCGCGACGGGCAGAAAAAACGTCACGCGCCACCCGGGCGCAGGACAGGTTGAAAATCGCCACGCGCCCGAGGCGCGCGACCGGAAAAACAGCAGCGGAAGCGAGAGGCTGGCCCACACGCCAGGACTTTACAGGCTCTGATACCATGTCGAAACTTAGGCATAAGTGAGGGGCTAATCTTAAGTGGGGGCCTAGGCATAAGTGAGGGGCTAATCTTAAGTGGGGGCCTAGGCATAGTAGCCTAGGCCCAAGGAGATTGAGCTAGGTTGAGCCGAGGAGGGGGAGTCGAGAGAATTGTGGCAAGAAAAGAGGGTTTCACTATAGCAAACAAGGAACATATAGGCAAGAGAACAAGCACAAGAGGTGCACCACCAACAGTTAATAATAACTACACTAAACTACAGCTACAGGCAGTTACATAAATATTCCAACAGGCGCTGGTGGCGCTGGAGCTGGAGGTTGTGTTTCTGGAGGTGCTGAGCCTGAGCGTGAGGAGACTGGAGGTACTGCGTCTGGGGGTACTGAGCCTGCGCGTGAGGAGCCTGGGGGTGCGGCGCCTGAGGGTACTGAGACTGCTGGTGCGCGGTCTCCTTGGAGTGGCCGCCTATGTCCGCGTGTGCCTCTCACCTCACAGCAGCTGCACGAGTGGTACGGTCGCCGTCAGGGTCACGCTGCTGGCGTTCGGGGCTCTGCCGCTGGAGGTGCGTCTGCTGACGTCGCTGGAGCTGGGAGTGGTACTGGTACTTTGTCTACTGGAGGTGCTGGAGTCGCTGGTCCCGGAGGTGCTCGTACTGGAGGTACTGGAGCTGCTGGGACTGGAGGTGCTGTGTCTAGGGGTGCTACTTCTGGAGACACCGAGGCTGCAGACCCTGGGACAGGAGGTGCCGGTTTTGAGGGTGCTGCTGCTGGTGGAGCTGGTCCTGGAGGTGCTGGCACTGGAGGTTCTGGAGCTGCTGGGGGTGCTGGAGCTGCTAGCGGTACTGGAGGTGCTGGTGCTGGTGACGCTGCACCGCCGCGGCTGTTCTTCACTCCGCCGTCTCCGTCGTCTCAGCCACCGCCTGACTCTGTGCTTCGCCAGGTTCTTAGCCTCCCGTCTTCTACTGGTCTTCCGTTACAGCCTAGCTCACCGCTGCCTGCTCCTTCTCCTTACACTGAGCAGACAGGAGGTCTTGCTGAGCATCGTGAGCCTGCGTCGCGTCCTGTCTCGCCTGTTCGTTCTGGTCGTACCAGTCGTCGTGCTCCGCGTCCGCGTTCCCCGGCTGTCCCTAGTGCGCACCTCATTGTCCGTCGTCCTTCCTCTGATCCGCAGCGTGTCCCTCTGCCGTCTCCTCCTCCGTCCTCTCTGTCTGACGTTCCGGACCCTGAGTCTGACTGGTTTCGTGCTGAGCACCCTACTGTCACGCGTCTGTTAGCCACTGTTGTCACCGACCCGTCGTTTGAGTCTGCTACTGCGTCTGCCTTAGTTGCTGAGCTTGTGGACTTTGCTGCTGCCTGTCGTCTAGACTACGCTGCTAGTCTTGTTGCTGAGTCTGCGTCTGTCTGTCCTCCGTCCGTCGGGGGTGAGTGTGCTCTTGGCACGGACGTCCTTGAGGACAGACAGGAGGACCTTGAGTGTCTTGCGGCCGCTGCGCCTCATCTCGTGGCCATGCTGCTTGCCCCTAAGGGAGACCCGGATGCACCAGACATCCCTACCCCGCGATCTTACGCTGAGGCGATCGCGGGTCCCTACTCCTCTTAGTGGCAGACAGCCATGGACGCAAAGATGGCATCCTGGAAGTCCACAGGCACTTACGTCGACGAGGTTCCCCCCCCTGGGGCGAACATCGTCGATGGCATGTGGATTTTCAGGGTGAAGCGGCCGCCGGGTTCTCCGCCTGTCTTCAAGGCTCGTTACGTTGCACGAGGCTTTAGTCAGCGACAGGGAGTTGACTTCTTCCAGACCTTCTCCCCCACCCCGAAGATGACCACTCTTTGGGTGCTGCAGCACGTTGCCGCTCAGCGTGACTACGAGCTTCACTCTCTGGACTTTAGCACAGCCTTCTTACAGGGTAGCCTGCACGAGGAGATCTGGCTGCGCCGCCCACTTGGCTTCACTGGGACGTTCCCTCCTGGTACCCAGTGGAGCCTCCAGCGGCCAGTCTACGGTCTCCGCCAGGCGCCTCGTGAGTGGCACGACACACTGAGGACTACACTTGCGACACTTGGGTTTGCTCCTTCAACAGCTGACCCGTCGTTGTTTCTGCGCACCGACACTTCGCTGCCGCCGTTCTACATCCTCGTGTACGTCGACGACTTGGTCTTTGCCACTGCTGACACTGAGGCTCTCGCCCTGGTGAAGTCGGAGCTGCAGAAGAGACACACGTGCACAGACCTGGGTGAGCTGCGCAGTTACCTTGGCTTGCAGATCACCCGGGACCGAGCACGCCGCACCATCACACTGACTCAGTCACACATGGTGCAGCAGGTTCTTCAGCGCTTCGGCTTCACCTGGTCCTCGCCACAATCCACTCCTCTGGCTACAGGTCACTCGCTCTCAGCTCCACCTTCGGACGAGTCCGTAGAGCCGAGTGGTCCTTACCCAGAGCTTGTGGACTGCCTCATGTACCTGATGACCTGCACTCGTCCTGACCTTGCGTACCCTCTTGGCCTTCTGGCTCGCTACGTGGCTCCTGGTCGGCACCAAAAGGTGCACATGGATGTTGCAAAGAGGGTACTACGCTACTTGTGCAGTACATCGGGCATGGGGCTCGTGCTTGGAGGGCGGAGTCCAGTTGTCCTCACTGGGCACTCAGACGCTTCTTGGGTTGACGACCTGGCTACGCAGCGGTCGTCACAGGGTTACACCTTCAGCCTTGGCTCTGGCTCAGTTTCTTGGCGGTCTACTCGCTCCTCTTCTGTTCTCGGCTCCAGTTGTGAGGCTGAGATCTACGCCACAGCCATGGCTGCACAGGAGTTACGCTGGCTCACCTACCTGCTGACTGACTTGGGAGAGAGGCCTCGTTCTCCTCCAATTCTGTACGTCGACAACAAGGCCGCCATTGCCTTGTGTCAGGAGCACAGACTGGAGCACAGAACGAAGCACATCGCTCTACGTTACTTCCTGGCTCGAGAGTTGCAGCAGCGTGGTCAGCTTCGTCTTGCTCACGTGGCCACTCAGGCCAACACTGCTGATATATTCACCAAGGCACTTCCGTCTGGTGACCATCAGCGCTTTTGTACTTTGTTAGGCCTTGTGCCTACGTTTCCACACTTGCTGTAGACTCTGCTTGTACTGTGATATATGTATATATGCCTGCATGCTTGCTCTTGCTAGGTAGTGATCACTATGTTGTTGTTGTTACATATATGTCTCTGCATGTGAACTGGCCTTGTGGCCCTTTGCTTGTGCTCAGTGTGTGTGGTGACGACGTGATCCACCCTGAGCTTGCTTTGCTTTTCTTGACTGGTCTTGTGACCCTTTGTTCTCCCCCACTTTGCCTATGGGGGTGTGTCAAACTATATGCATGCTATATTTGTGTAGGCTGTAGTGGGGTAGCCAATATGGGGTACAACCCCTTTAGGGTTTGATACTTGTACCCAACTCTCATTCAATGCATTCACTCCTGCCTGTAGTTTCTAACATTATCCAAACCAACTATTATGATACGGTGACAAATAGAAGAACATGCCTATATATACTGTAATTATGCAAAATATCAAGGGATTGGCAAATTCCACTATGTCAAAATCATTTAATGTGGTTTTGGTTGTGCTGAACGGCAAATTTATAACAATCACATTTGGTAGGATGTAGAAAATCAGCTTACACTTTTTTAGAACAGGAAAATTATACTTTTTTTTTTCTTCGAAAATTTCCGAAACACCCTAGAACCGTATTTCACCCACCGAGTCCCACGCTTCGCCTGCCTGGGTTTTGCGCTGTTTGTCCGAAAACGTTTCGGCGTCAAGTCCAAAAGTCTATCTGCGGGTGATCAGGATTCAGAACCGCCTCGGAAACAGTGGGCAATTTGAAAATCACGAAGCCCGAAAATTGATGGAACACGCAATTTGCCAGCCAGGACCCTCAAAGTTGCGATGTTGTACATATCAACTCCTCTCTCGCGCCACCATTTCATCGCGGATAGTACGCTCGTCACGGTCTCCTGAAATCGACGCGGATCCGCGCGCGCGCGACAGGGCTGCGGGGCTGCTGCGCGTGCGCTCGCTGCGGCGGCAGAAGTCCAGTGTGGCGATCACTCGGGTCGCTGGTAGCGCTTGGAGTGCTGAGAGGGGGTTGACTGGGGTCGCTGGGAGGGCTGGGGGGAGCACTGGGAGTGCAGGGAGCGATGGGAGTGCAGGGAGCGATGGGAGTGCTGGGAGCGATGGGAGCCGCCCTCCAGTGGTGGGATTGCCATGGGGATGGGCATGGGAGGGTGTTGGCCCAGCCTGCTACCGACTGGGTTAAAAGGGCATGTTTGTATGGTGGGTAGCACACCCATAACCCTCCCAGGCCACGCCTGTAGCCCTCCCACACTCAACTCGGGACGATCCCAGTGCCCCACCAACAATCTCCCCCTCACTGGGGTCGTCTCCCCCTCACTTGGGGCTCGTTTGGGCACTGGCGCTCACTGGGATTCGAACCGGAGACCTTTGGCTCTGATACCACTTGTTGGCCCAGCCTGCTACCGACTGGGTTAAAAGGGCATGTTTGTATGGTGGGTAGCACACCCATAACCCTCCCAGGCCACGCCTGTAGCCCTCCCACACTCAACTCGGGACGATCCCAGTGCCCCACCAACAGAGGGGGCATGGGCGGAGGCGTGGGGATGGGTGGGGGAATGGTGCTCACTGCGTATGGAGTGGGCGCAGGGATGGGCGCAGGGATGGGCGCAGGGATGGGCGCAGGGATGGGCGCAGGGATGGGCGCAGGGATGGGCGCAGAGATGGGCGCAGGGATGGGCGCAGGTATGGGTGCAGGGATGGGCGCAGGGATGGGCGCAGGGATGGGCGCAGGGATGGGCGCAGGGATGGGCGCAGGGATGGGCGCAGGTATGGGCGCAGGCGTGGGCGCAAGGGGGTTGGGGGGCTTGCTGGGGCGGGCATGGTGGCGGCGGATGGGGTGGGGGGCGGGGGAGAGAGGTGGGGGGCCCATTCCGTTCCATTTCGTTCCATTCCGTGCCATTCCATGCCATTCCGTGCCATTCTGTGCCATTCCGTGCCATTCCGTGCCATTGCGTGCCATCCCGTGCCATTCCGTGCCATTCCGTGCCATTCTCTGCCACTGCCTCTGCTGCTGTCCCGCTCACCCTCTCCCATCCTTCCCCTTTTTACCGTACCTCTCTCACTTCCTGAACTTTCTTCCCCCCCAACCGACCTGCATCACCTCCTATTCCTCCCTCTCCCCCTCTCCTCCCTCCGGTTCGCAGGAGCCGACCGGTGGTGCACTGTGCAGGGCCCTTCCAGCGAGAACCGCACTGCACCGTTTTGGAAGCCGCCATCCGCACCAAGGTGGGCGGCCTGCCTCTCGGGTGTCTTCCTCCTCTCTCCCCTCCCACACCTGCATTGCGCCCCACACACTCTGCAGCCCCCCCCACACGCTCTGCATCACCGCTCCCTGCTCTACCCGTCTCCTGCCCCCTGCGGTACCGCCATCGTCCTTCTCTGCCCATTGCCGTGTGTGGCGACGTGGCGTTCGCTGCGACGTTTGAGGCGCCTCAAAAGCCCTCCCTCTCGCCCCCTTCCCCACCCCTTACCCCCCTCCCCCCCCCCTCCCTCCCCCCAGTCGCCCTACGTGGACGTGTGTGGCGACGTGGCGATCGCTGGCAACGCACGCTCGCTGCACGGGGCTGCGGTGGCGGCAGGTGTGCCCGCCAGCACCACCGCCGGCATCTACCCGGGCGCCAGCAAGCAACTGTTCGTGCGCTCAGGGGAGAGGGGTGGGGAAAAGATGGGCGCCAGATGGAACGTTGGAGGATACATGGCGTGGGAGAGTAGCGATGACATGGGGTGTTGTGGGGACATGGACCATGGGTTGTGTGCTTGATGCTGCCATGCTGCCATGGTGCCATACTGCACGCTTGGTCTGTGGCATGGCAGCGCGTGCATGTGGGGCATGAGAGCACCAACAGCGTGCCATTCTCTGCTCTACTGACTCACATGGTGGCCCTGCCCTGCACCTGTCTCCTTGCGCCACTGATGGCGGCTTAGCTGCTGCCGCTGCTGTGCCACCGCCCCCCCCCCCCCCCTTTTCTCCTTGCCGGGGCAGCGCCTGCAGCTGCCAGCACACAGCCGGCAGCGCCTGGTGGACTTTGGGCCGGGCGTGGGTGAGAGAAGCACGTAGCTGCTGTGAGTGAGGGCGTGCCTTTCCTTGCCTTGCCTTTCCATACCCTGCCTTGCCGTGAGTGTGCTGCACGGATGCCCACATATGCCCTGCGAGAAAGCACCTCGCTGCCAGGCGTGCACAACCCCGAGCAGGTATGCCGTGCTCCAGGCGTGTAGGGCTGGAAGGGTGCTCCAGGCGTGTAGGGCTGGAAGGGTGCTCCAGGCGTGTAGGGCTGGAAGGGTGCTCCAGGCGTGTAGGGCTGGAAGGGTGTGGGGAAAGTGCTGTCGTTGTAGCTGCCTCCTCTCTGACACGTGCCCCTGGGTCCCTCGTGTGCCTCTGCTGCCCGGAGCAAGCAGGCTGAGGCCATTCCAGTGGTGCAACGAGGCAAGCTATTGCACAGCGCTACTCTGGGCGCACAGTTTTTGGCCATCCAAGTGAGTGCACTGTGCTTTGTGACCGCCACGTGCTCTCAACCTCTCACTCCCTTGTGTGCTGCGCTGGATGAGCGTTGTTTGCACCTGCTGACCGAAGTGGGAGCGCGCTGCCCTACTCTCCAATCTAGCCGGTTTTCAGCCTCGGGCTCCGAGCATCGTTCTCCGATCCTAGCGTGCCGTGCCTGCAGGTCCGCGATGAGCCCGTAGTGGCCATTGCAAAGAGGGAGCTTCGGGCCGAATTCTTCCCTCCCCACCCCGCCTCTCCCCACCCTTCTCACATGCGCACTTCCCTCCCCACTCCGCCTCTCGCCGAGACAGACGCGATAGGTGGGAGCCGAGCCGTAACCCCAAGGACCAGCTACTGTACACGTGGTCGTGCCGGGCTGGGCCGGTTCGACCGCCACGTGATCGTGCCTAACTCCGATGTGGAGGGGCGCAGGCAGATTCTCCAGCATCAGTTGCGCAAGGTGCAGTGCGGTGGCCGTGGGTGCTGCATGCATGGGTGATGCATGCATGGGTGCTACATGCATGTGTGCAGGGTAGTGTGCTGCAGCACATTCAGCTGACTATGCACACCTTCATTTCCTCCCTCCTCTCCTCCCTCTCACTCCCCAAACCCCATCACGCCCTTTCGCTCTCCTCTTCCCTTCCCCCCCCCTCCCAGATCCCCCCCAAGCGGACGACGCGGACGTGTCAGTGGTAGCGCGCGGCACGCCGGGCTTCAGCGGGGCAGACCTCGCCAACCCGGTGAACGGGCAGCGCGCGGTGGGGCTAGGCTAGCGCAGCTGGAGCCGAGGTGAGGAGCGCCAAGGACCGCATCCTCATGGCCGCCCACCGCAAGTCTGGTACTTGGATGCGGTCCACTCATGTCATCTCCCCGCACTTGAGCTGCAGCAGGAGGCGATTGCTGGTGCACGCAGTGGTGAAGGGACAGGTGGGGAGCATGGAGCACGGCTGGTGTGGGCAGGCAGGTGGGCTGCCAAGGCACAGGGACGGGAGCGAGTGGAGGCCACATGCCCACCCGCCGCCATGGCAAGGCCATGGGAGAAGGAAGGGTGATGGGTGATCTGGGACAAGGGATGGGGCGTGGGGGATGGCCGATGGGGGATAGGGTATGGGGGAAGGGGGATGGGGCAAGGGGGATGGATGGTGGGTCTCTCTCCTGTACCACTCTCATGTGCCAGTCGTCCTCGCCTTCCCCTCCCCGCCCTTCCCTTCCCTCGCCCTTCACATTCGTTGTCTTATGAGCCATGACCAACGAGTTTTCTTTGTTTGTTCCGTGGCTTACACATGTTCCACGAAACAAAATTGCGAATGCACACAAGCAACCCCACCCTCCTCCCCCCCCCGTTATGTCCCCCAAGTTTCGGCCCGCCAGTCAAGCTCATACCCTTCCCTCCCTCACCCTTCCCCTCCTCGCCCGCCCCTCTCTCTCCTGCAGGTGTGAAGCTGCGATGGGGCATGCAAGTGGGTGAGAGTGGGTGCGAGTGTGCTGGTCGTGGGGTGCTCCGCTGAGCACATGCCTCGTGCATCCCTCATGGCGCCAGGGACTAGCCACATTGGTCAAGGCCCATGCATGGTGGGTGGTGGGCGATGGGAGGTGGGCGATGGATGGTGGGTGATGGTAGCCATGAGGAAATGGTGAATTCAAACCAACACTTGCGCATCGAACTCATTTTGTTTGCCACAAACTTTTGCTTTTCCAAGAATGGTGTTGGTGTGTTTGGGGTCACGGGTGAGTACTTAAGTTTCGTCACGAACCCCTTCATGTTTGCCTCCAACTCCAACGAGTGTGCGAGTGGGTGCGAGTGGGTTCGAGTGGGTGCGGGTGGGTGTGGGTGTGAGTGTGCTGGTCGCGGGGTGCTCAGCCTGAGGGCGTTCATGCCTCGTGCATGCCTCATGGCGCCAGGGACTAGCCACATGGCTCATGGCCCATGCATGCTGGTGGGTGCTGCCTGATGCTTGATGGCTCATGGTGGGTGATGGCTGATGGCTGATGGGTCACGGGTGATGGCTGATGGGTCACGGGTGATGGCTGGTGGGTGGTGGGTGCGCGGAGTAACCGCAGGTGTGTGCAACGTTTAGCGACGTTAACTGGAGGCGATGTTACCAGGAGGCCATGGGTGTTCAGACCTGCCCGCTCTCCCCCCTCTCGTCCCTCACACCACCGCCCTCCACCAACGCCCCCCATTCCATTCCGCCTTGCACTTGCGCTGCGCTGTTGCCGCCACCCACACGCCCACTTGCGCACAAGGCGTTCTCCCCCCCTCCACCCAATCATCATGTTTCCTCCATTCAACGCTATTGTCATTTCCTGTATATGCCTGCATGCTCCCCTTTCTCCCCCCTCAGCCACCAAAGCAATATTTGTTTTCATGCTAGATGCTTTACATTCAATGAGCATCGATTCAAGTGCTTCAGATCCTTCCTCTCTTCCCCTTGCTCCCTCTCCCCACTTGCCAACCTGTCCCCTCTGCTCCCTCTCCTGACATGGGATGGCACGGCATTGCAGGGCACAGCATTGCTCGGCATGGCATGGCATGGCATGGCATGATCCCCCATCCCTCCACGCACACCCTCTTCCCCTCCCTTTTTCCTCCCGTCCTCCCGCCCACCCCCCTACCCGTCCCCCACGCCACCCTTCTTGACCCCCCTGCTCCCTGTGCTCGTGCGCCTCTGCCCCTCCCCGTCCCCCTTTCCCCTGCAGGCTCGGCGTGCCGCGACTAGAGGCGCTGGTGGAACCCCTGCTGCCCTCTCGCCCCTTTCCGTCTATTGCGACCACAGCGGCTCCACGTGCCGCTGCCACCGCCCACACTCGCCACTCTCGCGCGCTACTTGGCTCTCCTGTCGCCACGAAGGCATGCCATGTGCCTGTGGTGTGGTGTGGTGTGGTGTGGTGTGGTGTGGGCGAGAGCAGGTCCACATTGCATCCCGCCACGCTCAGGGTAATGGTCAGGCCAATGGGTGATGGATGATGGGGCATGGAACATGGGGTATGTATGGGGTATGGGGGATGGGGGATGGGGGATGGGGAATGGGGGATAGGGGATGGGGAATGGGGGAAGGATGATGTGCGATGGGGGATGGTTTATGGGTCTCTATCCTGTACCAATCGTCCTCACCCTTCCCCTCCCCGCCCTTCCCTTCCCTCGCCGTTCGCATCCCTTGTGTTGGTGTGGTGGTGGTCACAGGTGAGCACTTAACGAATGCATGCACTGACATCATCTTTTCTTAAGGCGTCTCAAATCAAAATCACTGTCATTTCCCGCTCCCCCCCCCTTCCCTTCCCTTCGCTGGGCCTCGCTTCGCTCCCTGTTCTGAGATGTTGCCACCCTCCCCCACCCCCA